AGTAACGAGATGCCATATTTCCGTACGTGAGCCACTATTGAGAACGTAAGATCGAGCGACGCTGATTTTGTTCATTTTGCCAATAACACACACGCAGCTGATGGGGAAGCCAAACACAAACAAGTCCGTCGTGCCGTCACATCTTATACACCGGGAATTACCCAAGCATTTCTGGAGCATCTAACTTATTCTGCCGGATGTAGTGGCAAAAACGTCAGCGGCGGTGTATACAGCCTGGCCGGGCCGTAAAATGTGAGATTTATCAGCCAAAGACACGTTAACAAGCTGGGTACTATCAACAAATCACCGGTAACGGCGCCATAACAACACCCCTGCTGAGACCCTCTCGTCGCCGGCGCCCCTCGGAGCGGCCGGCTGGGCAGTCGCTGCCCGGGCCGTTCGCGTGCCCGGGCAGGGCGGGCAGGTCCCGACCAGGTGAGGTCCAGGCAGGGCATCGAAACAGTATAGCCGGGTGAGAGAACATCTTGAATCAACTGGTGTGGGACTGGTGTGTGGGTCTTTGCGACTCGGACGGGGCGCGCAGTTCCGGATCAGGCGAAATCAGGGCAGGGCAAACCGATTTGTACCAGATGAGATCAGGAGCGGGGCAAGCAGATCCCGCCGAGCAAGGCGATCCGGATCGCTCGCGATGCAGATCAACGGAGAGCATCCGATCGCGGCTCAGTGGCCCGAAGTGGCTCAAGCAGAACAAGAAGCAATTAACCCGTTTGAAAGTAACACTGTTCACCCAAAGGTCATGTGTTGAAGCCAAAACTTCACAGAATCATTGCAGCGTAAAAGGTAAGCGTTCGGCAAAAATATAACTTAGATCATCTGGACCGTGGTCTATTTCTAGGTACTTAAATCAATCAGTTGACTAGTTGGTGGACCCGTCCACTTAGGAGAAACTGCCAGGGGAAGTCGGTGCGAAAAAGGAAAGTGTACAGAGCAGACACACCGATAGCGGTATACAGACATTATCGCACCAATATGGACGATGGTGCTATATCTAAAACTCAGCTAGCCTTCAATAATGACATTGCTCTTTGTGGCCGTTCTTTCACTTCATTTATCTGCTGCATTGGTCATATTGGAAGGCGCACCACCCAATTACACCAGTAGTTTTACAATAAAGCTCTTTCATTACTGCAAATGGAAACGACTGTCCCCACCCGTTGTCTCTTTTCTGAGATTATGCGCCATCTTGCAGACCCTTTTCGCTGCATCGCCCTCGACGAACAATGCTTAAGGTGTCCAGCAAGACCTGAATACGCTACATTGCACAGATGCCAGTCCGGATGGTTGCAGACGTATTACTCTTGATTTTGTTTCTTGCAAGACGCATACCAGCTCCTCACTCACTGGACACATAAAAATAGGAGATCCATCTGCAAAGATAATCGCCGGAGCTGGGGAACACTGCTCACGATAAGTATACCGTTGTCTCTTGCTGTGAGGTACCAACCGCTTGTTAAAGACGTGCAAATAAGTATAAGTGGCATCTTCAGCTGCACCTAAGAAGGCTTGTTTTTTTAAAGACCAAAACTCAGTGGATGTAAGGAAGATTGCAAAGAAAGGCATAACAGTATCTCACACAAGATATGTGCAAAAGCGTCTTGAAAAGATTGTCCCAGCCAGATAACTGATTTGCAGAGTCAAGAGTTGTTTTATACACTGGTGGTTTTGAGAGGTCCTTATGCAAGGACTGCTGTCTAGGACATATGTTTAGCACTCATGATGCTTAGCAAGAATCGGTGCCATGGCAGTACGATCTATCACATATGAACGGTTTTGGTAGACTGTCAAATCGACGGGAAAGGCTCTCAATTTCAGGTGGTAAATGTCCGAACGCTCTGCATTGATTGCCGCATTGAAGTGAAGTTCTTACACAAGAACTGCTGGACAAGACCTATATTTAGCACTCATGATTCTTGGGAAGAATCGGTGCCATTGCAGTACGACATATCGCGTATTAACTGTTTTTGGTAGACTGTCAAGTTGATGGACAAAGGCCTTCAATTTCCGCTCGTAAACGTCCCACCGCTCTGGATTGATTGCCGCACTCGGCACCTCTGCCGACCCGACCGCGACGGGGCCGAGGACAGATGGCGGGCCGCGATGTCGCACCCGGTCGTGACTCGGCCGCAGAGCGCGGCCCGGGTCCATCTCGACTGGCGGGCCGCATCGGGGCCTGGTGCCCCGGCAAGGGCGCCGCCGCCGGGCGCCGCAGCTCGGCCCCGTCCGCCGCTTCGTCTGACCGCCGGCTCAGGTGAGGGCGTCGCGAGTGCGCCGGGAACGGGACGGCCTGGCCGGCCAGCCGCGCAGCCGGGACGTCAGAGGCACCGAGTACAGCCACCAGGGGCAGCAGGGGCACCAAACACAGCCGGGGTGTTAGGGGCATCACGAACACTAAATACAACCCGTTCGCCGGAGCAGGTGTGTCGTTTTGACATTACAAGAGGAAAGGTGGCGACAAAGTTTCTCCCAATTTTGAGTTGCAGTCCCATCGCTTGACTCCATGATGTGAAGCAAAATGCAGGGCTCGCGTGGCCTGCGGGTGGTGGATGGTTCCTTCGCCAGGCGCAACTGTCTCCGCTGCTGCGAATTGCGCGCTGGCATGGGTGTAGTCGGACATTGAGAAGAGATACCTCACAAAGCGGTGCCGACCCTGCGGGTACGCGGTCAGCAGCCAGCGGCTCTGACAGCATTGACATCCAGGTCAGGCGTGCCGATAATATATCTATGTAAAAGGCAGTTTTTGCCATGTGATTCGTCTTTAATATTTATGAGGTGTTCCTCAGCGTGGAGGAGGATGGAGATGGTGCTGAATGGTGGCGCGGCATTGCCTCCTTGACAATGTGTCGGTGCAAACTTCATCCTTTCATCCGAGCCTAGTGCATTATAGCGTTAAACACGCCGGCTGAACTTCGTGCAGAACTGTTCGCATCTAACTGGGCGTCCGTTGTGGTGGTCAGGGGGGGGGGGGTGGGCACAGACCTCGCTGCACCAACTCGCTCCGTGGCTGATGTCGTGCAGCCAGCAAGCAAGCTCATTGGCTTGGTGCCACGGAAGCCCGATGGAGCCTCCCGAACCATCGATTTAACATTGTTCTGTATTTTGTAATTATGCCAAAATAGAGAGCACGTATCTCGATGAGCTAGCCATGCTTTCGGGGCTAACTATTTGCTTCTGGTAGCAAAAGCCACGAAATCTTCACACCCTAAATAAGAATTACGCAGACGATCAAAGAACGCATTCCAAACTATAAATTGCAGTGCATTCGACTCAAGTATTATTCGGCAATTACACATAGCCGCTGGTATTTTGCGGGCACATCGCCCCAAACCACAGGTCAGCGTCAAGGTAAACGACAGAAGTGATTTAATAACAAAATATTCGTGGTGGAAAAGTATAAATTTTAGGACAACCGTTTCCACGCAGGGGCCATAGACCCCAAGCTAAGCTTCAAAACCACTGTGGTGTAGGTTCTTTCCTTTCCAAGGATCTGAAAAGTCCCAGTGATGGTAGTCGATGCCAACTAAAGCGAGCGAAACAGAAACCAGAATAAAGAAGGTAAACATCTGCAGATGTGACGACTATCACGCGCCATCTGAGGAACTACGCAGTGTCTGTTTCACTTTTGTCAATAATATCGTGGATTGCATGCTAATTCGTTCAAATTGCAATTGCAAACGCTTGGCAGGATGATCTCCCAGTAACGATGCCCAAATAGTTTGTTCAATGGCTCCTGGGGCGAATACAGGGCGTGAAGAACAGTCTCGAGGTCTTGGAATGGGTCTAAAAGTGTTTAAGCTATGGGACAATACAAAATTAATTGTTTCCAAGAAAAGTTCATGTAGACCAAGCATGATTTAGATAACTGAAGAGGCCACCACATCTCGATATAGCAGTTCTCGCTGCAGCCGTCCTCAAATCACCCCTAATGTTCTACCTGCTCGTGCCGTAAGCACTCAATCACGCAAAGCCACACTTCACCCCGGAATCCAGCTCCGGCAAATCCTCAGCATGCTTAAACGTTCTGTCAAAACAGTCTTGTTGTGTTGCATGCATCTGTCAAAGTGACGGGTCTCGGTCCGCAGGACGGTGGCGTTCGGCGGTAAGCCCGGTGGTGGGATGTTTTGCGCTGCGTTCGCCAGCTGCGCTATCGCGGAGGAGGGAAACCAGGGAGAGCGAGGCTCCGGCTGACTCAGACCGCCCATGGCAGCAGGGGCTGCGCCTGCCCCAGGTGCCCGGCCATCCACGCTCCGTGGCCGATCACGTGTTTTCGCAGCCTTTACTCTGACAGGCAAACAACTGCTGGCTGATGCATAAGTGATGTCCGCGGCGCTTATCGAACCTCAACGTCTGCATACATCAAACTCTGGCGTGCGGCTGGGCGTTGTGGGGCTGAGGCCAATCCGAGCCGGCGTCCTAACAGCCGGCGGTGAGAGTGCGCGGACCGGCGGCGGCCCCGGCCGGCGCCGAGGGGGGCGCCGTCCGCTCCGCCGGCACTGACACGCCTCCGGTGGCCGGGCGGGCCGCCATTCCGCCGATCGGCGGCAGGCCGGGACAGGCCGCGCAGGAACCGTTCGCCTTCGGCTCCGAGTAAACACCGCTGCAGCAACAGCATGGCTCCGACGCGGCTGCCAAGAAAAGCCGCCTCCCGCGGCTGTTACGGCGAAGCACGGTGGGCAGGCGACGAGCCTTCCCGTCCGTTTACAGTCGGCGGCGCTCAACCGCGGCGTTCCGGCGCGGCCGGCCGTCCCCGGCGAGGCAGCCGCGCGCCGGCTCGGTCAGATGATGTCTGGTCACTGAGGTCAGGTCAGGCTTCGTGAGCGCCGGCCGAACAGCGGCCCGCGGGCACCGCCGTCGGCTCATGCGTGCTGGACGTGACCGGAGGAGAGAGGGGCCAGAGGGAGGCGGGGCGGAGTGGGGCGGGGCCGGCGGAGGGCCACCTGTGAGAGGCCGCCGTCCGCCGGCCAGCTCGCCCCAGTACTTACAGCCATCGGATGGCGCCGGCCGTCTCCAGCAGGGCGAGTCCGAGCAGGGTGGCCACCATCAGGCGGCGCTCGGTGCAGCGCGAGCGCATGCTGCCGTCCCAGGGCCGCGTCACGGCGCGTCACACTGTCACTGGCGGGGCTGGCCGCGCGCCGCCGCCACCATCACCGGCCGCCCAGACGCACTGTCGCCGCCCGTCTCCAGCACATGCCCGCCCGCGCACTCTCCACAGCTCCGGCCGTGCGCTCATCTGACGGCGGCGGCGGCGGCGGCGACGGCGGCCGGCCCCAGCCGGCCGGCCGCCGCTCCCATTGGTCACCTGTCGGCCGGCCCCGCCCCCCGGCGGAGGTCACCGACGGCGCGCCGGCCGCGCGCGCCCTCCCGATGACCGAGTGGCTATTGTGCGCGCGATACGGCAGCGTCAGGACACTCCCCCCCTCCCCGCCGACACGCAAGCCGGCTGACCCCAGTAGAGCGCGGAGCACGGCAGGCTCGGCGATGGGGCTTCGGGAGCACCGCGAGCTCCAGCCGCGGCCGCAGACCAGTGCGAACTGGTGCGAGCGAATGAAACCAGCTTCGGACTCGCCTCGTAAATCAGGCCACTGAAAGCGGACTGGCCCACCAGCGGGATGTCGATCAAACACCTTTGGATGGAGCGATGGGGTTTTGTTTTTGGCTCGGGGTTACGCATCGTTCTCTAAAATGCCGCCGAATTCGTTTTCCTTCGCATTTTAACGCACCTTTTCTGATTTGTTTCCTGCAGAAACGTAGTGATGTTGAATAAATGCACGTTTTGGTATTCAGTTTATATAATAAACTTTGTCTAGTACCCCGAGCATGCTTTTAACGCAGATATAGAGTTCACCTGTCTCTAACTCAGGTGCACAGGACTCATAATTTACGTGGCCTAACAGACGCATTATATCAAAAGAGATCAAAATCAGAAGAGGTACTGGTCCCATCGATACACTGAGCATATCATGTCTGCGTCACGTTAGATAATTTGATAATTTACATCTTGCAATGGCGAGAATGGGTCAAAACATTGCGATATCCTCACCATTAAATCATGGCAGTGAACATTTGAATCATCACGGCAGGTTAGGTGTATGGGCGTGTTAGGACCATAAACAGTTTGAATCAGCACGGCAAGGTGAGGTGTATGGGCGTGTTAAGACCATAAGTAGTTTGCATTCACCTGTTATACTGCAAACGCTAGAGCGATGGCGACGATAGAGAATAGTCCAGAAGCCGGAAACACTCCTGATCTAGTATAATGAGTGAAAACGCAGCGCGTTCAGGCCCAGCACGAATAAACTAAGACGCGCTGTGGGGATAACGGAGTACTGCGGTTCAGGGCTGCATGACAGGTGCCGAAAACGTACCGACAGATGCAAGGCCGCCAAACATGCCCCATTAACTTAACCAGGCGCTCTCAGCTGCAATGTCCAGTGTTCATTCTCACTTTAGAGCGTACTGCCGACTGTCTCAGCCGATAGCAAATGGGCGAACCGCCGTGGGAAGAATGCCGTGGTTGAACGTCTTAAACCGACCTTTATAACATAGTCTATGTGAGGCCACGTAACTACAGTACGTAACGTACTGTAGTAGTAACGTACCACAGTAGTAACCACGAAACGTTGCGCCCGGTATCGCGCCGTTGCGGACGTACCGCTCAGTTCAGAGGCGGGCAGTATTCGAGCGGGCTGAACAGCGCACACCGCACGGGTTCCACAGGGACCCTCAGAGAGAACAATGCCCATCCGCTGGCCTACTGAACAGCGTGCAGCCCCTTGCAAGGAAAACCACCAAGCCATGTAAAGGTATGCGTCTTGGATGTCGTTGTGGTGCGGTGATTCACAAAATAACGGGACTTACGACTGCAAGACAGAGGTCGACAAGAATATCTAGCGAAAAGAATGCCAAGCGTGTCGCCACTAATTTCATTACACACTGAGACCTGGAATTTCGGTGCGTAGCCTCGCATAGTCTCGAGAATATAACAGCCATCACGCTGCGCCTGGACGTGACAGCGGTGGTTGTGGATGTGCTGGCCAGCTTCCCGCTATCTGCCCACTCTAGGGGAATATACCCTTGATGATGCACCCACGAGCTTCCGGCTTCTTGTTTTCGCCAGTTGCCTTGAAGATCTCAATCATCAGGTCGAATGCCGTCCTCTACTTATATGATACAGCACTTCTCAGGCGCATCTGCTCCTTTCTATACAGGTCACTGCAAGAACGACTAGTGTAAAAGCGGGACCGAAATAGCCAGTCTAGATGCCTTTACATGACGCACAATCGCAGACTTACTGTCTGGGCTGGGCGGTCATAGTCTTTACCAACTAAGCATGCTTTGCACATCCCGACAGAACAGGTGCTTGTGTGCTTCATTGTGACGTCACAGAGATAGCATAACACAGCTGACGCGGGCTTGCATTTGATGCGGAAGCATCGAGCGTTGCGGTATGTCTCTGAAGACGGGTGAGTCAGAATGCCCGCCGTCGGAGGAATCACTGCGTAGGCCGCGTCCAGGAACAGACCCCTCCCCCTCCCCCACCACAAACGGCGACCGAGGCGTTCCGGCCCTCGGCCACGCCACAGCGCACGTCCACTGTGCCAGACCGAGCGCCTGAATGACGACGAACTGCCGCGTTTCTGGAGACCGTCATTGGTGTCGGCATTTCACACAGGGACAAATTAGCGATTTTATGTGGTAAACGTCAGCTTATCAGTAAAAACATAAACCTTGACAACATGGTTGTGGTAAGATAACATAACCGGAAACTATTTTTTAGTGACGATAATAATACACATAATGTCCTTATACTGCCGGTTGAAAGTGATGCGGCTACTCAAGTGATTGAGTAGAGGGCAAGCAATATTTACTACTTCTGCCGGCTCCAAAACATGGCACGTGCTTACGGCGCAATTTCGCCAGTAAGTTCTTGAGCATGTCTGTGCAGTGTTTGTGTACAAGAACAAAGATTGAAGCATGCCAAGCACGCAAGCGAACTTGGCTTCAAGGTGCTGGCACCCAATGCCCCCGTGATGAGCGCTACGTGCCGTCAGAGAGATTTTGCTTGGGACAATTACTGTGTAACGCGGCAATCAGTATTTCACTATTTCGATATATCACTTAAAATTTTCAGCTAAATTCGGGAACGCTCGGTTATAGTTTGGTATCAGCATCAATTAAAAGTGACGGGCTTTTATTCAAGAATGAGACCTACACCCTTGTTCAATCCCCAGTTGGGAACTTCAGTCCTGTGATCCACTATGTTCCCTCAGTGAACATAATGTTTCTGCCACATATGCAAACTAAATGCTTTGATATTATTGGTCAACTATAGTTTTTGGCATCTAGATCCTAAATATACTTGCAAGATGCACTTCTATTTTAAAAAAGGACTTACTGGCAGCAATAACCTATCCACAAATGTGCAGTTACCGCTTCTATAGCTGTATGGGTTGATCTGTGTAAATGTGCACAGCCAGAATTCCGAATAGCAATATGCCTATGCCATCACACTGAGTCCTTGAAAATTTGTGATATGCAATTATATCGAGAATAATGCTACATTGATGGCGAGCGCATTATTTTAGAAAATTCGAAAAACCGTGCCGTCTGCTGGCCGAGGACCGCTCTTTTGGGACATCCTCGGGCATCAGGAATAGCAAAGTCCCGTCACTGGGGACGCAGAAAGCGACAAGCTCTACCGTGGGCAGCCCAGGAAAGGCGCCGTGGAGAGGCCGGGAGTGCACGGCTCGCGGCCGCCGGCGGCTGGTTTTCTGGGGCGGAACGGCCGACAAAGGACGGCGAGTGACGACCGCGACAGGCGGCGCGCGCCGGAGATGGAGCCGCATCCGGCGCGCGGCCGCGCCATTGTCGCTCGGCCGCACGCCGCGTCCCGAGCTACCCTTCCTCCCGACAGCGGGGCTGGCGGCGGTCCGCAGCGTCTCACTACCCTCCCACAGACAGCGGGGCTGGCGGTGGTCCGCAGTGTGTCGCTACACTCCCACAGACAGCGGGACTGGCAGCGGTCCACAGTGTCTCGCTACCCTCCCACAGACACAGTGTCTCGCTACCCTTCCTCCCGACGGCGGGGCTGGCGGCGGTCCGCAGTGTCTCACTACCCTCCCACAGACAGTGGGACTGGCGGCGGTCCACAGCGTCTCACTACCCTCCCACAGACAGCAGGGCTGGCGACGGTCCGTAGTGCCTCACTACCCTCCCACAGACAGCGGAACTGGCGGCGGTCCACAGTGTTTCACTACCCCCCCCACAGACAGTGGGACTGACGGCGGTCCGCCGTGTCACACGACCCTCCATAGACACACTGCCTCGCTACCCTCCCACAGACACAGTGTCCCGCTACCCTCCCACAGACAGCGGGGCTGGCAGCGGTCCGCAGTGTTTCAGTACCCTCCAACAGACGCAGTGTTCCACTACCCTCCCACTGACAGCGGGACTGGCGGCGGTCCACTGTGTCACACGACCCTCCCATAGACACAGTGCCTCGCTACCCACCCACAGACACAGTGGGACACTACCCTCCCACAGACAGAAGTGGAAAGATTCACCGAAGTGAAAAGAATCGAGTAAAGTCGAGATTCTTTTCCACAGAAGTGGAAAGAATTGAGCGAAGTCGTGATTCTTTTCCATAGAAGTGGAAAGAATCGAGCCAGCTATGACTCCAAATCACTCAAACAGCAAGCGATTTGATATTTGATCTACCGAGCCATATGACGATTCTTGATTCCGTTCTGAATCCGAATCGCACCACGTACATATCTGATGGCCACGGGACTGACATGCGCTTCACCCTCCCACCACAGCACGAGCGCCTGGGGACGGGTGAGTGCATGAACATATGAGTGAGTGCATGCGTGCGTGAGTGCATGCACTGGCCACGCCCTCACCGGCGCCAGAGCGCTGGCAGCAAGACCGGCGGCGGACCACCGCGGCCGCCGCCGGCCGCGCCATGCTCGCCGCACGCCAGATCAAACGGCGCCGGCAGTGTCACTTCAGAGGCGGTGCAGGCACCGCACACGCCCTGCAGGACGAGGTGAGTCGGAGCTTTTTGTGCCACGTCATCATTGGTTTAGTCAGGATTTCGCAGAATTTGCAGCCAGCTGAGCCTGCTCTCGTCTATGCTCCTTCCGCGTAGCCGCTACCTGCATGGCATGCATGCGCCTGCTACATGTTGCAGGTCACCGAATTTGAAATAGGT